TACGGATAAACTATAGGCTTTTGCACTTTACTGTCGTGCTTTTCTTCTACGCCGAATTACGGCATCCTTAGATATCCATATGACAGTCAAAAGTGTTCCAAGCTATCATGTAGTGTACCGAGTCTTGCCGGTAGTCCAGATAGAATATCTGATTGGAAAGTGCTTCTGCGCATTTGATTCATCGCGGAACTTCCCATTATATGCACAAATTTCTCTACCCTTCAGTCCTATCCGCATGAGCAGTGAAGGATTTCATCTTTTTGTAGAACTCTTCAATTTTGTTTTTTTCTGAAATGCCTAAGGAGAGGAATTCAGGATATTATGTGCCCTTTTCAGATTGGAGACAATGAAGTTGGTGGTGTTGATGACAAGAAGAACATAATAAAAGTAGAGGATCGCTGTTCTACTGTTCCATCCGTCTCCAAGCCTGAACCCGAGGTATTGTGGCAGAATTTACAACTTTCTGGATCTGACCAATAATTTGGTTTTGTCAAATGGTTGATATCAGAGATGTGCCCCCTAGTTTGAAGTGTTAACTAAAGTTATCGTCATGGTTGCCAAATTGTGCCATTATTGTTTAGTGGACGTTTGATGAAACTATTCTAGGTTATCGAGCTTTCAAGTGGTGACGAGGATGAGAAAGACGAAGGTAGTAGTTTTCCTCGCCGAGTTCCCCCTCCTCATCCATCTTCCGTTGATTATGCAAAACGGTCGCGATTCGCTTTTACAGATAGAGACAGGGTTAGTTGATTCTTCTGCATAGTCTTCCCTAAATTTCTTTTTCAAGATGGACCGAGAAAAAATGGAGAAACAGCATCAAATAGAGAAAGAGAGAATTAGAAAACGGCGAAACTCTAGGGAGTTAGAGAAAATCGAGCTTACTACTACGGGTCGCTTATTAGTAAATGCGGGTATGTTTTTTTTCTGAGTAATAAGCGAGTCTTAAATCTTTTTACTGCAGGTCACGGGCCGGGAGAACCTGATGTTCACGTTGCGCCACATCTTAATCACGTTTTGCAACCGCACCAGCTTGGTGGAATCCGCTTTATGTTGGTTTTTT